ATAATAAAGAACTAATTAAATTGATTAAATAAATTATCAGTGCGGCACCGATTTTTGCTAGTGCGGCACCCATGCGGCACTGATTTTACCAGTGCGGCACTCTTTCAGCAGAAATATATCGGCACCGATGCGCACGGGTGCCAATCGGCACTGGTTCGGCACTTGCTGGGCACGGGTGCGCACCGGTGCCAACCAGTGCTAGTGACCGATGGCATGCCATGCGCACCGGTGCGCACTGGCAGTGCCGCACTGGAATTTTTTTTATAGGGTTGCACTCCACGTAAAGAAAATAAGAAGTGTCGTGCATATAACGAACACTCTTTTGTATGTCTTATCTGTTTTAGAATGAGAATAATGAAAGCATATCTTATCTTCGATCACGCACGTGTCTGCCGTATAGCTTATACAAAAATTTGGACTACATAAACCATATATACATCGATCTAGAGAATTATCTATAGATATAAATGTTCACGTGAAAAAAGAACTGAAAATAAATTCTCTTGCGTTCTTGCAGTTAGACAGAAAAGTACAGCCTATCCAACCCTGATCAGTGTCTGTTTCTTGGAAAATCCCAAGACCAGCCCAAACTTAATCATTTTTATTAAAATATTTTTAAAAACTTACTGTTTATCTGATCAGCAGCAAAGACAGATTTTCTTTACCTGTTCTTATCACTTTCTTGGTCTGGTCTTGGAGCTGATCTGGGCAAAAAAATAAAAACACGAAACAGACAAGTGTAAGTAAATAAGTCTGTACTCTGTTCTCAAGACCAGATAAACTGGACATTCTCTACGGTGGTATAAGACGCAACTAAAAACTTGATGATTCATTACTACTAGCAATAGATCAAGAGATCGTCATTACTTAATATAAAGTCTCATTACTTGATATAAAGTCCGATGGTACGAAATGGTTTGCCGATAAGACTGTTCTTGCCTGCGGGGCAAGACATTAAAACATAAATTTATAGTATAACTTAAACAAAAAAAGTAAAACCTATACGTAGCCTAGCGTATGGATAGATGATGGTAGCGTACAATGTAAAAGCAATCTGTGTCTGGTTTCTGGTTGGATAGCAGTAGCCACACATTTTATTCCAGCGTTTATCACATAGACATCTTGTCATAAAACACCACTGAAACGTTGTCCATTTTCGAATTGTCTGTTCGTTCTCGATATTTAGTCGGATATATCTGTTCATCTTTTTCTTTCTAGAACTTTTTCTCAATTGCGAAGATATACATTAGTAGTATCTCTAACAAACTTTTAGTGAATTGAGCTGCGATAAGAAAGTACTCACTTATGTAGTTGATGTTTATGATAATGAATATTCATCAGAGAGTACTGAAGCTGTACCAAAATTGCTTTGGATGCGTTGCTGATACGAGTAAAATTTCTTGACTCAGACAAAGTTTTTTATTGTCTTATGGTTATTTTGTATCTTCGCAAGTCTGTTGTAATGCATGTCCCTTCTCTTTTTTTAGACTCTCGTATGTAGAGTAAATTGTTGCCCTATTTCCTTAACTGAACTGAACTAAAACTACTATTTATTGTTATTATAGATCGAAAACCGTTGCTTTTATTCATATATTAATCGCTGCACTTGTTGTCAGTATTTTATCTTCATTTATGTTGGATTCATCATATTCTTTCTCTGAACACAATGAGCAATCGTACAATTCAACTTCAGATCGTAATGTAGTGCAAAATAGTCAAAATGAAAAGCAAAAAAACGTCTGTATGATTCGTCATATAGGAGTTACCTACCAATGTGATAAATGTCAGTTAAATTTTCCATCTCAATATAATTTAAACGTACACCTAGATAATCATAAATTGTTCTCAAATAAACGTAAAAAATCAAATATACTGTCATATGACAATAATATTAGTGACGAGGAAAATCCGCTAGATGTTAATCTTATGAATGATAAAGTGAAAATTATTTGTGCAACAGGGAATCATTCAGAAAAAAAAAGACAAACAGCGGATGAAGACTTGCTAACTGACAAAGAGGTATAATTATTTTTCACTTGTCTATTTTTTAAAATTCATGTGACTATACATTTCAAAAGATTATTGTCTATTCACATCCTTTACTTACCTCAAAATAGAAAGAAAACTACAGTTATCCATAAGAACATATAAAATCTCTTCTACCATTTTGTCTATTTTTTCTCTGTTTTAGTCTTGTCGAAAAACAGCTAAAACTCATCAATGTTCATATTGTCTAAAATCATTTCATGCACGAAGTCATTTAGAACGGCATTTAGCTTCGCATTCAACTTTAAAACCTTTTCTATGTGCTCAATGTGGTAAACAATTCAGTCAGATTACAACATTACAACGTCACCAATGGATAAAACATGGCATTACCAATGATGTTAATAATAAACGAAAAAATAGTACTGTTCATGAACAAATAAATAAATATCGATGTGAATTTTGTTTGACAACATTTTCGTTACAACATAATTTAAAAGCTCATGTTAAAAAATTACATATATCATGTGATGAAACTGATAAACAGAAACACTTATGTCCGTATTGTTCATTAAAATTAACAAACATTTCAGCATTAAATAAACATATTAGTTATCGACATGGGAAACAGTTTCTATTACAATCTTCGTCAAAATCAGCGAAGAGAAATTCAAATTGTATAAAATTAAAAATTGTGTCTGATAATTCAAATAAAAGTAACTAAAATTTAAATTCTTATACTTCTAGCAATAAAATCCAAAGCGTCAAGTAAAAATGCAAATAGTTAATTTTACTTTCTCATCAAAAGTCTATTTGATTCAATAGATGATATCGGTAAAATTATTCGATAAAATAGAATTTAGGTCTTCAAAAATTTGTTTAAAAAACGTTTTTCTATATTTTAGTTGTTCTAAATTATGGGGTATCGACGCTTTGGAATAACAACGTGCAGAATTCATCACAAGAAAATGTTATTTATTGTCCAATATTAAGAATTAATCATAAAACATCAATAGAATGTATTCAGCACCAAACTGACACAACTGAAGGCAATAATACAAATAAGAGTCCATCTACATGCCAATCACAATTGACTTCTGATGATAAAGAACGATTATCAAAGCGACCACAAGTAAGTAATGCTTTGCCCTACCTTACAAAACTATACACACCAACTGATTTGCTTTTCCATTGCATTTAATGATTTTGAAACTTTCAATTTCACTGGTTTAATAAACTTTACAAAAAGTTTTGTTGTGCATTTATTACAGACAAAAGTGAAATTGAAAAATTCATATATCTAAAATTTGCCTAGACAAACTACTGGTTAATTACGAATTTTTCAGTAAATTGGAGTTTACATAATCATTTTGAAATTATAAATCATGAGATATATTAGTAACATCAGGAAGGTACAAGAAAAATAATTTTATCGAATAATTTCATCGATATCATCTATCGAACCAAATGGAATTTTGATGAGAAAGTAAAACTAACTATTTGCATTTCTTATTTGATACTTTAGATTCCATTAGCTGCTGTTACAATATTTATCATACTCTAATATTGGGGCATCGGATGTTCGCATGCCTAAATGATTTATAAAGTCAAAAGGGGTGTTAACGCCGATTTTTATAGCAAAGCCCATATTTTTACCAAGAGTTTGTCTAGGTAGATCTGAAATCTGCCTGAATTCTTAAATTAAAGAAATGTGTATAACAAATATCGACAAGTCCATATTTTATTGCATAATTTTAAGTTTGTCTGTTCGAATCTCAAATTTTCATAGTTGAAATTTAGAATCGCCTGATCTATGTAGACATTTGAATTCGAATTTTGCCCAAGTAAACTTAAAATTTTCGCTTTTGTTTGTAACATATTCTTGCTTACGACACTAGATAGATGATCATTATTTTAGATTCAATTCAACTTTTCTAATGAAATGTCAGCAGTACAACTAACCGAACATCAAGAAGAACCGATAACTGGTAGTAAAAGTTCAGAAACAGTTATTAATTATCTAAAAACACCTACTGATAGTAGCACTGATTGTTCATTTTCATTATTTAATATAACAACCGAAAATTTATTAGAACAACTGACAAATTTGAATCAATTAGTAAAAAATAATGACACAAACAATTATTCAGATGTGGAATCTTGTTTAATCACAGTTGATAAAACGAAGAATAGTGCTTATTATAGTAATTATCAACAACAGCAAAATTTATTACATCTGTCAAGCATAGATTTTAATGATTTATTAAAAACTACTGATCATGATGGTTTTCTACATCATGAAATATCTTCAAATGGTCAAAACTTCACTATGGACAATTAATTGTATATAAAGTTAAATTTAATACTAAACACTGGAATAATAATAAATATTTGATTAAATCATCTGTTTTTTTTTTGATTCGTTATACTGATATATGTGTGTCCATTTTTTTCATTATGTTATTGATGTAGATATGACTATAGTAAACAGTAAATAACGTGCATGTACCAGAATATTGGTTTAAACTTTATTCTTCTAGAATACAAACAGAAACATATCTCTAATACATTCTTTATAAATTGTTTTCGTTTAATTTTTCTTCTTCATTCATTTATGCACATCGATTATGTTTTTAGATCTATTTATATTTATAATTGTTTATAAAATCTATTTATTATCTTCTAAATTTTTATTATTTAAAATATTCTTTTCAATTCATGGCTTTAGCTTGGAAAAGTACGGATGTAGCCGAGCCAGTTGCATCGTTATACAATACAAGAAGTACATGTACGAGCAGATCTAATTCATCATAGGTATACGATAATATAATAAAAATTTTCATTTTATTTTAGCTGTTAAAAGATTGATGCGTGAAGCAATGGAATTAAAAGATCCAACAGAATTATTTGCCACAAATCCTATTGAAGTATGTATTTGAAACTTTGTTTTGTATTTTTATGCTTAAATTGAAATGTTGTGTTTCAGCAATCTGAACAGAATTTAAAATATACGTAGTGATTAATTTTAAAGTTAAACTACTTGAGAATTTTTTCCACTAAATCTCTACTATACTTATGCTAACAATTTGTTAGCGAATCTCTGTAATAATAGAACTACTCTTATCATTTTGCCGTTTATTAGAAAATTTTTAACGTAAGTTTAATGTATCCTTGTTTTGCTTGCGTGACACTTTTGATAGAAATAAACAATTTATTCTAGTATTGGGACACGGTGAAAATCTCTTGCAATATTGCCTATGCTCTCTGTAGAGATAATTAATTCAGTCTATTTTTTTGTTTCTCAGTTGAAGAAAGTGTGGCATTGATGATATAAATAGGTGTCAGATTCTTCTCCGATGATTCAATAAAATAGTTCTCATAAAACTTTCAACATTGTATTAATTTTTTTAATTTAGGACAATTTATTTGAGTGGCATTTTACAATTAGAGGTCCACAAGAGACAGAGTTTGAAGATGGATATTATCATGGACGTATAATATTTCCCGTAGAATATCCAGTAAATAATTAAGATGTCGAGTATTCAATGCATAAAAATTGAATTTTTATTTGTTTTTTTCCCTAGATGAAACCACCAAGTATAATTATGTTAACAGAAAATGGTCGTTTTAAAACAAATGAAAAGATTTGTTTAAGTATAAGTGGTCATCATCCAGAAACTTGGCAACCATCTTGGTCCGTTCGAACAGCATTACTTGCAATAATCGGTTTTTTACCAACGCACGGTGAAGGAGCATTGGGCTCTTTGGATTATACACCGGAAGAACGAAAAAAATTAGCTAAAAGGTATGTTTTAATGACAAATTTTTATTTTAATCATATTAAAATAAACTATCACCTTTTTTTACGTAGATCTCAAACGTATACTTGTCCCAAATGTGGTATTATTAATAATCAAATTTTATTACCATTATCAGACAAATCGATCGAAGCAAGAAATGAAGCAAAAGAACTTGGACATAAAATTAATGTACATAAGGTATAGTCAAAGTGTCAGCTAATAGATTAAAATACATTCATATTCGCTTGATTTTTGTTTTTTTTATAGAAAAATGATGGCCAAGAAATAGATGTCGCTCCATTGTCTTCTGATGATCAACCAACCTTAGTAAATCCATCATCGATTGTTAACGAAAGTTTAGCATCTCCAACTACTACCGATTCACTTACAATTGATCCATTATCGAATACAGTTCAAAATAATATGCCAGCCTCTGGTATTATATCATCAACTCGTTCTTCTTCTCTCTCTCCATCAGCGTCTACTTCACCAACACTAGGATCTCAAACGACAAGTACACGAATAACGGACTCAAATCATTATGTCAGCATGCTATTGTTTATTTTTTGTTTACTTTTATCATTTCTCTTTATGCGTCGAATATTTTTAACATTTGACAACAAACCATCACCAAAACCATTTGATGACGATTTTTAAATAGTATTCTTCATTCATCTCATTAAGACTATGTTATTTCTTGTCTTTAAAAGAGAACGATATAACGTGTTTTCATTTGTACGTTACTTCGATTATTGATTTTAAACTTGCAAAATGTTGGCTATTTGTTTCTCTTCTTTTTGGAAAAAAAAAATACCTAACATATGTCAACACATATTTTACATTTACTTATATACTTTATAATTAAATATTATCAATATCATCTGAGGGTGTTTTATCGGCTATTTTTTTTTGCTTTATTTTATACTATGGTTTGTTTTGTAACTGTCTCTATTTTTTTCTGTTATTCTTTCACAAATGGTTATGTTTA